AAAGCATTACAACTCCCAAAAGAGAGAGAGAGAGAGAGAGAGAGAGAGAGAGAGAGAGAGAGAGAGAGAAAGAAGCGCTGAGGAATCCAGACCTCACCAGAGGGAGAAAGGGGGATATAGCCATCCCATCTTGGCTCCTGTATTGCCAGCACCTTGTGCACAGGTCTCGTGGCACTTTGTGACAATGAGCCGGGCTCAGCAAGGATCCTAGTGGAAGAGACCAATGAAGGTCACCTACTCACATCACTGGACTGTGCAACAGAGCCACAAGAAGAAAGATCCAGATCCTGTCTGAGCCACTCCGGGCCCTGCGGAGTCATTCAACAGCAGTTATTTAGCACCTACTGTGCACCGAGCATCGGTATTGCAGGAGAAGAAGCCGGCACACAGAGCATGTCAAAACTCATTTGAGGTCACACAGCAAATATCTCTAGGACAGGAAGAGGGACTGGCTTCTCAGCATCTTTTGAACAAAGGGCAACGATATGTACCTGATCATTTTATGAGTTTTCCATTTAGAACAATTTCAAGACAATTTCATATAGTTTGACATACTTGACAGCATTGTGGCACTTTTATACACATGACAAGGATTTGGCACACTACAGACATTGATCTGTGGTAGTTGCCCACTCACGACAGGTTGGTGTTCATAGATAACAGCTGAGCTCTGGGAAGAGGAGCTGTAAGAAGCCAGCTAGCCAGAGGCTGTGCCTTTCCCCTAACCCTGTGCCCTGGTCTCCAGGTCTTTTGTGGCTGCTCCTAACCTCGGGATCACCCAGCTCTTACCAAGTGATGAGCAACTCCAGCATAAGCTTAGTTGCTCTTAAGGGCAATGCTTCTGAAGGTCACAGGGTGAAGGGCTGCTCTGGACTGCTCAGCACTTCCAGAACTACCCTCTGCCCAGAGAAACTATGCCTTCTCCTAGTGAGCAGCAAGTGGAGGCAGAAGGCATCTGAGGGTGCAGGTTGGGCCCTAGAGAATGGGAAAGAAAGCAGAGATAGGGCTTGGTGTGGGGAGGGATGCCAGCTCTGGCCTAGGTCTGCTTGCCAAGGGCCCTAGGAGCCCGGGCAAGGGTGGCCCTGTGGGGGCTGAGGACTTCCCCATGCTTCACCCTAGGAAGCTTGAATCCTTTAGAGATGGGTTGCATTTGTCACTACACACCTTCCTCTGTCTTGGGGGACACAGAGCCCAACCAGCCTTGCCTGTTGGCAGGGCTATCCCTGACTCGGGCTACTGGGGAAATGCCCCTCCTATGAGTGGTGCAAGGAGTCAGTGGCCCCTTCTAGATATGACCTCAACTGTCCCTCCCCACCCATCATCATCAAGCCACAAGGATCAAGCCTGGGGCAGTTGGACAGAGTTGGGGGCTGCTGGCCATGAGTTCTAGTCAAGCTCCACCATGCACACTTTTTTTTTTTTTTTTTTTTTTTGCGGAACCTGGAATTGAACTCAGGCCCTTGCACTTGCCAGGCAAGTGCTTATTCTACTGAGCCCTCTCCCCGGCCCCTCACACTTGGTCTTGAGCTTGCTTCCTCAGCTCTGAAACAACAGTAACAAAGGCATACCTGTCTGTGTTTCTCACATAGGGTTTGAGGTCCTATTAATCTCCCTAGATCTTGCTAGAAAGACTCTCCCCCACCCCGGACCTTTTCCATTAACACGTACCTTTAAACTAAGATTCCTGAGCCCTTAGTGTGCCTGTTAGTTTGGGAGTTTCTGAAAACATCCCTAGGAGTTTCTGAGGGTCTCCTGAATCTGCACCTGTGGGGCACTTGAGGTTCTCCTGCTGTGCTGAACACCCTGGTTTGGGGAGGTAGAAGAAGGCCTACCGAGCTGCTGCAGGACAGTCTGGCTAGGATTCTTTCTAGAACTTAGCTTAGATGAGGGTAGGGTGAGTGTAGTGGTATAATCAGAGTGCAGATCCACTTCTGCCCCTCTCATGGCCAACAGTGAATGTTAGAATAACACCCCATCACGATTACTCAAGGCTGCTATGGAAAGCAAGAGGGAGCTGCCACCTCCTGAGACAAACTGTTGGTCCCGCCTTAGTGGCACTTCATCCCTTGATCAAACCCAGCTTTCCTGACATGCCAAGCATCTAATCAGGGAAGGAGGAATGGGTGGTAATGCAGAAGGGCAGCCCATTTTGGGCAGGCTGCATGGCCCATGTGGTCCATTTCCTGCTGTGGGTATGTTCTTGGTTAAAGTCAAGGACAGTAGAGGAGGCAAGTAGAGGACAGCAGGAGGAGGTGCTCAGCCAGGCCTTAGGTGGGCCTTGTGCCCTGGGTGGGGGATGAAGGACACCCAGGAGGCACTGGCAGAAGGTCATGTGGCTTCAAGTTCACACCTTCAGGTTCTTCTAATCTCAGGTCTCTTAGTTCCTTCAGTACTGAGAGCAAACCAGTACACTGGACATGTCTGGCCATACAGTCTTGGAAGCCTCAAAGCTGGAGCCACCCCCAGGGCCACCCCTTGCTGTGAATGGTGCAATCTGCCCCCAAGGCAGGAATGTGCAGGGCTGCTCTATGCCAGCCCCCAGCGGTGGCAACTGTCTCCCAGATGTGATGATCTGAGTAGGCAAGCGAGTAACCAGATGTTGTTTGTTTCCCTTGGTCATCAGTGACATGCATCTGCACTCCAAGGGGGAATGCAGGATGTGCTGCCCAGGGGTCTGTGTGGGGCCCTCTGTTGCAGTTCTGGCTCTTTCTGGAGACACAGCAGGGATCAGTGCAGGGTCTGGCCCAACTCAGGCTCACTGCCAAGGGAAGGGACAGTGGTCTCGTCCTGTCTTCCCATCCTTCTCACTCCCAGGGAGTCCTCAGGCCAGCTGTGTGAAATCCTCAGGCCACCATGACAGGGCTGCTCTCATGCAAGTGTACTTCCCTGGGCACATGCCAAATATGAAGAAACCAGAGCCCTGCAACTGTGGGCATCAAATTCAACAGCTCTGCCCTAATTGTCAAAGAGTCTCACAGTCCCAGACACCAATAGAAGTTGGGCAGATGGTGAGAATGTTAGTTGCTGTGAGGTCACTGAGACCCTTTAACTGTCATCTCCTGCCAGTTCCCCACAAACTGCCTATGAGGGTGGCCAGTAGGATTTCTATTTCACAGATGGGGGAATGGAGGCACAGAGAGGTACCCAGGCAAGGGTGAGGGGCAGAGCTTGGATTTGACCCCAAGTAGTCTGGCTTGTCATTGCCCCGCCCCCCATGCGGGCCTGGAGTAGTACAGGAGCATCTTGGGGGATGCATTAGCAATGCGAGCTCCAGCCCCACCCAAACCCCTGAGTCAACCACTCTGTGAGGCCCAGGGATCTGCTGTACAAGCCCTCTGGGTGACTGGTGTGCACCAAGGTGAGGGCCCCTGCTGTGCTGGGCACAGTGGCATGCACCCTAGTCCCAGTTGCTTAGGAAGCTGAGGCAGGTTGACTACTTGGGCATATGAGTTTAGGGCCAGGCTGAGCAACTTAGTGAGACTGCTGCTTTTTAAGCAAAAAAATGGAAAAGAAGCCCTTCATTACATTGCTTTGTGCCTTGAGTGAAGTATGTGGGTCGAGGGCCAAGCATGCTAACAGACTGCAACTGACCTTTGACCCCATTTTCAGGGGCAGGAGCAGGGAGAGGGAGGGCCTGTGCACAGTGGAGAATACGTGCTCCAGCTCTGTATGCAGCCACTTGCTGCCCTGTGAGGAGGCAGCCTAGCATCACCCGACTTACTGGCCTTCTCCAGAGTGGTCTGAATTCCAGCTTTTCCATGTGAAATCTCTTTATAATGCTGGCAGTCTGTCCAAGTTAGTCTTTGGGGAAAAAAACCCTGTGAGGCCGGAGCTCTTGGCCTGCGTACTGAGGACCTTTCAGTGACAGGCTCACTGGGCTGCCAAGGAGATGGCGTTGTCTGGGAGAACTTGTAATTCTCAGGGTCCCAGATGGCACCCAAGCCTTTAGATCCCAAGGAAAGCACTGCAGGGTGCAGGTGGGCAGGCAGTGTGGTGCTGCAGAAGTGGCCTTAAGTCCACTCAACTCCCACAAGGAAGACTTGCAACTGCAGAGGTCACCTGCAAACCTTGGGGCACTGATGCCTGTTAGTACTCTGATATGGGGCCATTCTGAGGGTGTGTGTGACCATGACTCTGGCGTTTCTCTGAAGAGCACAGCTCACTCCATCTCCAGCAGAGTGAATAGCCCTGCTCTGCCCCAAGACCAAAGCTGCCTGTTAATGTCACAGCCAGGCCACTCACCGCAGCTGCTGAACACACATCCATGTCCCATTTGTGCACAGAGCCTGTGTGTATCAGGACAGTGAGGGGACAGGAAGGGAGCTGAGGTATCTTGTGTATGTACGGTGTGCTGGGTACTTGCTGGTTTCTTTGCTTCCCCTCTGAACAAGGCCAGTGGGGTAGAGTTGCTTCCAGTTGTTCAGATGGGGAAACCGAGGCCCTCAGAGATGAAGGGACTGGTCCAAGGTCACTGAGTGAACAGTGGAGCCAGGATTTCCACCTGGGCACCTGGACCATAACCCATGTCTGTTAGATTTCTTAGATCATTAGAAGAAAAAAAAAAACCCATCATCGTCTTCACAGTGATGCAAGCTGCACTTTATCAGGTGCCTGCTGTGCGCTTGGCCCTGAACTAGGTGTTTCCTGCTTGATCTCCTTCAGTCTTGACAGCTCTGCAGGGCAAGCATTATTGGCCCCATTTGATAGCTAGAAAAACCAAGGCTCAGAGAGATACAGTTTGTTGCCCATGCTCACACAGCTCCCCCCTCAAAGTAAGCAGTGAGCTGGCCCTGGATCTGACACACAGCGGGGGCTCAGTGACTGCTTGATGAATGGGCAGAAGAGTGATGGGAGGGTGGGTCCTCCGACCCTGGAGGTGCGAGTGTTCAGAGTTGTCACAGCCTGCATCGTGCTGTCAGCTGTGAGACCTGGCGTGCTTATCCATCTTCATCAAATGGGCATCCAAGTCACAGCTCCCTCTGCCCTTGATGTTGGGGAAGATGAAGCAACTAATCTGGAGGTGAGAAAAAGGGATGGTTGACTCAGGTGTCATGCAGGCCTCGCCAATTTCTGGATTGTGCCAGATCATATGCATGTGGCCAACAAGGAAGTCAACTGGATACGGATGGCCTTGATTGTGGGAGACAGTTGTTAAGCAAAATTACATGAGGTGTCATCTAATCTGATACCCCAAGAAACTCAGGAGTTTGTAATTTAGAGCTCAGATTTTTTTTTTCAGATGTTTTTATTTATAAGCTTGCACTGCAGTTGGGAGAGGTCAGCAAAGAAGCCAAGATCTGCCTGAAATGTGCAAGATCTGGGGCTTTTCAGTGAGCTTCCTGGAATCCCAATGTTCCTTTTGGGCGCTATGGTAGTCAGAGCATGTGCTTGCTGCCGCAGGTCCTTCTTCTCTGCAGAAGCAGAACTACTTCAATGTGATCTGTTTCATATCAAGCCACACCCACTTCACTGGTGAATTCAGAGAGCTCATGTGTGAGAGTGACTTTCTTTGGAGCTGTAGGGCAAGTGAAGCCTTAGCAGGGTCTGTGTGGTGTAACAACTTTGGAGTCTCTGAGACTTTTGATGGCAGCTCTCTACTGCATCTGATTTGTTCATTTTTCTCACTCTCTGCTTCTGAATTAGAAGTTGTCTGACTATAAGTAACAAAATCTAACTCAGAATGGCCCAAGAAAAGAAAAGACTCATGGGTACCTGCGGTGATCCAGGCGCATTGATGGCTCCTTCTGGAACCTGTGTCTCCTGTTACTGCTGCTACTGTGTGACCCCCGTTCTTCCCTATCATGACACCCACCAGTTCTGGTCTACATCCTTCTAGATTTGAAGAGTGGAAACAACATACACACTCATCACACCCACATGCCCCCCCAAACATGCACAGTACATGCATATGCATATACACATGCCTGTTGACATGAGCAAAAAATCCCAGGCCAGCTCTTGCTGAGTCACATACCACTATCTGAACCAACAGCCCTTGAGCTCAAGGCCACCAGATGCTGCACTGCCCGAGCACAGGTATTTGTGCTAGAGTGGAAATAACACCGCATGAATCCCAGTGCTTGGTAATGGGGCCGGGTGCACCTCTGCCAGAAAAAGAAAAGGCTGTGGATGCTAGTGCTAGATCATGCCTTTTAACTCTATCTTAGTTACTTTCTTCTTATTGCTGAGGTAAAATACCCAACAACAAAAGTTAAAAGTGAAAAGGTTTATTTTGTTCATAGTTTGTAGAGATTTCAGGTCATAATTGCTTGGGACTAAGGCAGGGTGGCACATGGTGAAGGTGCAACCATTCATGACAGTGGAAGACAGCACAAGCAATGACAGAGAGAAGGCAGGCAAGCCTCTGTGGTCCCTTAGGGTGTATGCAGGCTACCTGCCTTAGCACAGGTGTACCACTCACACCCTTAATCCCAGCATTAGGCTATGAATCAGTCACAAATTCTAGATTTGGCCACCTCTGAAAAGCCCACCCCGATGACCCCATGAGGCTTTGGGGGAGACAAGCCGTGGCAGACTGGAGAGGCATGTGCCCTAAAAGGCTACCCTCCCTACCTGCAACTGTCCTTAGGTCAGAAGGCCAGACCAGACTAGTGTCTGCTATCACAATCCCAGAGAAATGGTCTAATTTGCCACCAAGTGAGTCATTGGCGAGAGTCAGGTTCACACAGTACAAGCGTGGTTCCTCACACCATTTCTCAGGAAAGGAGGCTTGGAGCCAAGAAAGCACTTTCCACTTGCCTGTTACATTTATTATAAATTTGTGAAAATGCACATTCCTGGGCCCAAAGCACACATTTTACAAACCTCTCTAAAATTCTGATGCACAGTAAGAGCCATCAAGTCGGGATCTTCCAAGAGCAGTGCTGCACAAACTCTAGTGGCCATTACTTATTATCCGCAAACTGAGGATTCAAGTCCCTACACCTGTGACCTTGGGGGGTATTACTGCTCTTTTCTCATGAGTTAGAGATGTGATGGGAGGCCAGGCCTAGACCAGGAGAATTAAGGAAGTCAGCAATGGCAGTACAACTTAAGAGGCACTAGAGGGCACCCTAGCCACTTGCCCAGCCAACTAAGCTGGAGGTGGGAGTTGGGGGAGACTAGTGAAGCTACCTGCTTGTCAAGACCAGGGTTGAAAGATGTTAAGATCCATCCCTACATGTGCTCACTGATGCTCTCCAAGGGTGAGGAGGGTCTTCAAGCATGCTGAACCATCACTCTACAACCAGTGTGGTAGATCTAACGGGGTTTCTTGTTGCTTGGGTGTCATTTGGAGAAGGTTCCACCTCTTTTAGCCTCTGGTCAACTGCATTGTGCAAGTTGAATGCTTTCTGACTTATGAGTTCTCCTAGTGGTAAGAATTTTTCTTAGTCCTGGCCTTGGAGCCCTGGTCCCATCCACCTGTGTTATCAGTTCTGGGGCTTTAGCCTCCCTACCACTGTGAGTCTCAGGGACAGAGGCCCTGGTGGTTCATCCCATGGTACAGGCTCTGGCTGATGCTAATGAGGTCCTGTGAAAATGCTCTCAAAAGGCATTTTCTAGGAGGGTAGACTCATGGTCCCTGCCCCTACTGATCTTTTGTGACACCAGCAAATCATCTTGCCCCCTTCAGCCTGGGTTCTCTCCACCCCAATGTGGCATGCCCATTGGGTTAAGGGGTCTTTGTCCACAAAAGTCAGCCTGTGGGAAACCCACTTTTTTCCCTGTAATTTGAACTTCTGTTTTGCCAGGTGGTTGGTATCAACCTCAAGTCATTTGGGTACCCTCTGGCCCTTTGTTAATGGGGTTGCACCTCAGCTTCAGGGAGCTTATATCAGGAGAGGAACATAGTAGTACTCAGATCCCCACTGACATAGCTGTGTCACCTGCTGGCTGAAGACCTGACACCATCAGTCAATGGGCCCAGCAGCATAAACAAGATTATCATGGTTTCCTACCACCTCATAGAGTGTGCAGTAGGCACTCCTCGGTTGGTGTTTTTGTATAAAACTTCTCCATCACCACAGGCTGCCATGGCCCTGGCTGTGGAGTCTCCTTTGTGAAGGCATGTTATAATTTGGGTTTAGATGTCCTCTCAAAACTTCATGTGGTCATAGGTGGGAGTTTTCAGACATGGCTGGATCTAGATTATGTGATTAATCCATGGTGAAATGCTGGGTTTAAAGGTATATGGTTACTAAATCAGTCCAGTGATTGGTTTAGCCCCATCCTAATACTGGTAGCCTGGATACAGTATAAAAGGGGCAGAAAAAACCTGCTGAAGACCCACTTGCTGGCTCTTGCTGTCTACTGCCTGCCCTGAACTGTTTCTCCTCTGTGATGCACTTCTGCCAAGCTACCCTGCCTTGGAGCCAGCCAGTTATGCACTGAAACCTCTACAAACTGTGAGCTAAATACACTTTTTCTTCCTTAACTTGTAGGTATTTGGTATTTGATCTCAGCAATGAAGAAAAAATAACTGATATAGTGGAGAAGAACAGGCATTTCCTGGGTGTGACCAAGGAGATGCCCACTCACATCTCATTGGACAGCTTGTGGACATATGAGCACATATGGCTGCAAAGGATTTTGGGAAATGCGGTCTGTCCTTGTGGACAATGTGAATTGCTAGAAATCAGTTCTAGGACCTGGGCAAGAATTCCTAAAAGAGGACTAGCTCAGTCCAGGGTGTGGGTCTCCTCTGCTCTCAGAAACACTGCCAATGTCTCCAAAATGTGTAATCATCCTCTATCTGCTCTCTCAGCTCAGGGAAGGGAGCTGGGAAAGAGAATGGGAAGTACTGGTTCTTTGGGACCAGGGCAACATAGAGACCAATTTTTTTTCTTTTAATTTGGACTATTTTTATTATGGACTATTTTAAACTTACAGTCAAGAATAAAAATAATGCAATGTATATCTGTGAACCTGCCAGACACTTCAATCAAATCTTTCTGTTTTCACATTTGCTTTAGATTTTAAGGAAATAAATATTATAGACATAGGGAAGTCTCTAGTCTTAGTTCCCAAACCTGATCCCATTTGACTCAGAGAAGCCACCGGCTTGGATTTGGTGTGTGTTCACCCCTTCTGTGCCTTCCTTAGAGTACACATCACGTATCAGCAGTGTTACAAAGCTGCTCTGCAGGCTTCTGATATCAATGTTCTGCCACATGATTCACTGTACAACTTTCCTCTGGACATTGTATATGAGTTGTGACTGATGATAACTGTAACTCTACCTCCATCATTTATCATAGCTGGGTGGTGGATGTGGTGCATGACTCTGGTACGTGACTACCACCATGCTCTTATCTATTCTTTTGAAGGTGAGTTAGCTTTTTGTAATTGTTTGCTGTTAAATTGTGCTGCAGTAAGCATCTTTGTACACATCTCTCTGTGCACGAGGCAAGAGCTTCTTCAGGTGAGTGCTCCTGAGCAGCAGCATCAGATCACCTGGGAATCTGTTAGAACTGCAGGTCCCTCACTGGTCAGAGGCTAGGGTGGAAGTGGGAGGCTGGGGCAGAGGCAGGGTGCATCCCAGGAGAGGGAAGGAAGAAGGCCTGGCCAGGTCTGGGGAGAAAGACTGCTCTGCCTCCACTACAGCTCCATCTGTGTTGTGCAGCTTTCTGTCACTATGACAAAATGCCTGGAAACTGACAGGAGGAAGGGTCTGCTCAGCTCAGGGTTTCAGAGTTTTCATCCTTCACTCACTTGGCTCGATCACTCCTGGGCCGATGGTGAGGAGCATCATGGAGGCACTGCGTGCTGAGCAGAGCAGCTCGCTCCATGGGGTCAGGAGTGGGAGTGGTGGGGGGAGAGAAGGAGGGAGAGACAGAGAGACAGAGAGACAGAGACAGAGAGAGACAAACAGAGAGACAGAGAGACAGAGATAAAATAAACCCTCTAAGGCACACCCAGTGGACCAGCTATGAAGCATCAACGCATTCACGCAATGCTGAGGTCAGGGCATGTGATCCAATTGTTGCCCAAAAGCCCCATCTCTGAATGCTGCTGCCATGGGGACCAGACCTTCAACTCGGGAACATTTGTGGGATGTTCCAGATCCCAACCATAACACCACCACTAGGGATCAATACATTTTTGGGTCAGACTCATGGAGTGAGAATATGGCCAGGCTTTGGTAGGGACTCACCTTCTGCTGATCTGAAGAAGGGTCATAGGCTCAGGGGACCAGAGTGTGTGACCAGCTCACCAACCAGCTGGCCTTGGTGGAACACAAATGTGGAGAGTTCAGTGTTCGCTTCTTCTAAGGAGTTGCTCGGCTTCTCCTGTCCCCCTCCGAGACCTGGCCACTTTCTGACACTTTTTCTCTCACTGTGGGGCACCTGCCTGCCAAAGACCCCTCCAAGGCAGCCACACAGGCTCTCAAGTCGGGTTCCTCCTAAGGGCCCTGGCCCCTGACAGCCTCTCAAGCCTTCTAGGAAGGACAGGCTGGTCTCTTGCTGCTGTCTCCCCTCTCAGTTTTGCCCTCTCTCCTGGTCACTGTCTCTGCTCAGAAAGGTATGGGAAGGGGCAGAGCCTTGAGGCCTCAGATGAGGGTTTATATCCCTCTGCTGGCACCCTCTGCAGCCCCCGGCATCTGTGTGAGAGCTTCTTCTGCATCCCCTCCCTGGCTTTGGAGGGTTGGGGGCAGAGCAAAAGCCATGCACTGCTGCCCGCTGCCCCAGGCTAACAACCCCTACCTCCTGGGACTCCCTCTGAGTGACCTGGCCTCTCCACCCCGCCACAGCTTCTCCATGGGCCTTGGGGATACTGATCTTTAGATCTCAGAGGACTTTTTACCTCTTTCTCCCAGCTCTGGTTCCTGGTTCTGTTATGGAGCAAAAAAATTCCTCCCTTCAGCTTGGTGTACCCAGTGGTGTTGGGGTGTGCTTGGCAGCGGTGGCACTGAGGAAATGGGATAGCACCCAGAGCCACACAGGAGGGGAGGGTCTCGGCCCATTGCCACATGCATGTGCTCCTGCTACATGCAAAAATACAGGGATGATCACAATATATAGTGAATGTTTGTATAAACAATTTATTATAATAAAAGACACTTTGCCATTTATCCTTCCCAATTGTCCCTGTCAGTTACGTGGCTGATAGTGGGCATCAGCCCAGGGAGCAAGGTCTTGCTATGTAGTTCAGGTTTCCCTCAAACTTGGGACCATCCTCTTGCCTCAGCTTTCCAGTGCTTGGATTATAGGAGTGTGCCCACCATGGCCCTGTATTCTCACTTTTATCACACTGATCCCACTGTCCTGGCAACTCTCTGAAGCATTTCAGAAAGCCCTCTTTTGTGTCTGATGAATTATGTTTAAAAATATGGTGAATGTGTTGTAAAGTGCTATCCACCAAAATCACGGCATGTAAAAAGTATTGTAGTCCACGCTGTCCACTTTATTCACCAGATCTGGCTCTGTGCAGCTTCTGGCTCTTTCCAGATGTCAAAATGACAGTGGAAGGCCAATATTTTTAAAGGATTCAGGACATGGAGACAGCCATGACACTGAAACAAAGACAACCAAGAAAGAGGTCTTCCAAAAGTGCTTCAGAAAGTGGCAAGAATGATCCCTGTGTTCAAAGAGAGGGGCACTATTTTGACAAGATTAATGGCAATGTGTCTTTTTGATGCACAAATTAAATTTATACATTAAAAATTTATGCGTCGACTGCATCTTTTTATCAACCTTAAGCACATTGCCTTAGTGAATTGTAAGTGTGACTGTCAATAAGAGCAATCTCCAAATGACAGCTTATGTAAAACAGATGTTGATTTCTCTCTCCTGCTGACAATCTACATGACGCAGTCTAGAGCTACAGTTCAACTTTCTTCGGGGACCTGGGCTCCTTTGACCTTCTCTCTCCACCACCTTCGGGCATGGTTTCCACCTCTAGTCCAAAATGACTGCTGTGCACCAGCATGTGCACATTCCTCTCAACAAAACATGAGAGATAACAAGGGGTGTGACCTGTCATGGTTGTATGCCTGCATCTAGGAACAAGGGAAACTGGGAAATGTAGCCCTGTTTGGGTGCCAGTGTGCCCCGGTAAGAGCGCAGTGAGACTGTCTAGGCGGCTCTCACGTGTATTGACTCTGTCCTCCCCCTTCCTGTCTGGCTGGCAGCGGGCACCGGCCCGGGGGGCAACTGCACGGGCTGCATCATCTGCTCAGAGGAGAACGGCTGCTCCAGCTGCCAGCAGAGGCTCTTCCTGCTCATCCGCCGTGAGGGCGTCCGGCAGTATGGCAAGTGCGTGCACGACTGTCCACTTGGCTTCTTCGGCATCCGCGGCCAGGAGGTCAACAGGTGCAGAAGTAGGTGGCCGCCGCCCCGCCCCATCCCTTGTCCCCAGCTCGGAGTGGGGAGGCAGGAAGACCCCTGAGCTTAGACTTGGTAGCTGCTCAGCTCCAGGCTGGCAGTCAGTCCCCTCTGCCTTCATCAGCACTAACCGCAGGGAGCCCTCACCTCTAGCTTGCTGTGTGGCCTTGGGCATGCTGCTCAGCTTTTAGGGCATAGTTCAGAAAAGTGTTCTAACGCTGTCTTTACTGTGACCTGGGACAAACCATGACTGTGTCTGAGCGGTGATAGAAAAACATCCAGGGAAGCCTCACCCCAGCCCAGATTTGCTGTGTGCTTTCGAGCAACTCACTTGCACTTTCTGAGCACAGCTAAAAGGAAAAAAGGAAATTTCCCACATGCAACCTATTTTGACCTTGCTGAGATCTGCAGTCAGAGGAGACACTGCCTCCAGACCCCATGCTCAGAACCCCACCTTGACCTGGTGACCCTCCTGGGCAGGGTCCTCACCTCAGTGTCCTGGCTCTGTTACAGAATGCGGGGCCACGTGCGACAGCTGCTTCAGCCAGGACTTCTGCATCCGCTGCAAAAGACGGTTCTTTCTGTACAAGGGGAAGTGTCTGCCCACCTGCCCCCCGGGCACCTTGAGCCAGCCAAGCACCCGGGAGTGCCAGGGTAAGTGCAGACTCCTCCCTTGCTTGGAATAGGGGCTTGGTGACTGGCGTGGGGAGACAAGGATATATCATAGTAGAGTGCCACGTGGTTCTGGGAGGCTCAGTGCCATCAATTCTCCTGAGTGGGGATCTGCACAGAGTCATCCTGCAATGTGCTGCAATTGACCCAGCAACTGTGGGCTGATAGCTATTGTGCCTACATTAGCATTATGTGATTACCATGGAGATGGAAGATGATCAATGATTTTAGAATAAAACATCTAGGGTCAAGCTAAGTGTGTTGATGCTTGTCTGGGAGGCTGAGGCAGGGTGACTGCAGTCAGTCCCCTCTGCCTTCATCGACTGCAAGTTCGAGCCCAAACTTAGTGACTTGTTGAGACCCAGTCTCAAGACAAAAATAAGTAAATGCATAATGAGGACTGGGGATGTAGCTCAGTGTGAAGGCCTGGGTTCCAGCCCCAGGTTGTAGACATAATGTAAGGTCAAATCCCAGCTCTAAAACTTATTTGTTAGGGATTTCAGAGCCATAGTTTTTCAACATGATAAAAATGATGAAAACTCACAGCCCCCATGTGTGGTAGGGCTGGTGCAGGGTTTGGTGCATCTTTGCAGTGTGCCCTGTTCAGCACCAGGCACTCAGCGGAGGCTCGGTGTCTGGTGCCTGTCGCCATCTCGGCCCACAGATCTTTGTCACAGCTCAATGTCCATGAGTGTCCCGCCTGGGTTGGCCTTGCCACCCAGTGCCTTTCGGGCTGCCTGGGACTTCTGGCTCCATAGGCTTCTCCCTGGAGCTCCAAGCCTGGTGCCTCCCAGGTTGGCTCCTGCTCCACACCCAGCTCCAGGGCCCTTGCTGTGGCCATGTCCAGACCCAGAGGCACCAGGAGCCTTCTTTCCTTCACTCTGTGCAACCCAGTCCTGTCCCTTAGTCACTCAAGTGGCATTCACTAGATCATCTGCTCTGGCCAGGGCCTCTATTTTTTACAGTGCTAAATTTTAAACCCAGAACTTTTATACCCAGCCCTTTCAACTCAAAACTTTTTGAATTTTTTTGGTCAGGGTCTCAATAAGTCACTAAATGACCCAGGCTGGATTCGAACTTGAGATCTTCCTGTCTCAGGCTCCCAGAGGCCTGGATTACAGGTATGCACCACCAAAGCCAACTGGCCAGTCTTTATCCAAGGTCCTGGGGATGTGTTAGCACAAGGCAAAACCTCTGCCCTCACAGAGTGACACTTCAGTGGGCAGATGGGAGACGTGAGAATGAGTGCACAGCGTGTCTGCTGGCAGAAAGAACTGTGACACGAAATAGAAGTGGCCTGCAGTTCCCAAGTCCATCCTGAGCCCCCATGCTCAGCCCATCACTGGGATTGAGCCCAAGGCCACACCTGCCTCCCTGCCTCACCTCCCATTCACCAGCCCGAGCACTACCCTGCAGACAGATTGTTTCAGAATGACAATCTGCTCAGTGCCTCTCTGCTCAAGGCCCCTTGAGGCCCCTGCTGTCCTTGTGCAGAACTTCTCCAGGCTCTGGCAATCTGATCCTCTCTGCTGGCCTCCCTACCCCATCTTCCTCTTCCTGTCTGAGCTCCACTGCTGCTTGCTCACTCCAGGGGGACATCATGGGCCAGGTGTGCTGGAGACCTTGTTGGGTGCCTCCATCCATCCCCATGCCTCCTGTCCTTAGCTTGCCCTGTGTCAGGAGTCTCCCCCTCTGGGATGCCATCCTGGTCCCGCACATTGTGTCTACGGCTCCTCTGGGCACCCCCAGCTGTACTGGCAGCTCTTGTCCCAGCCTGACACGTGGAGGCAGAGTCAGGAGGCAGGGCTGGCCTAGCTGCTCTGCAGCTGCCCCTCTGCTCTCTCTGCAGGCCCCATAGCACTTTAAACTCTCTATGTGAGCCTTGCTGTGTTCTCTTGGTAAACCCCATGCCTGTTCCATGCCACAGTGCACTGATCCGTGGAAGAGTGGCATTCAGAGCAACCTGAATCCTTGCCTCTCAGGGGCTCTCAGATGAATCAGGTATATATCATATACTTATACCCATATGAGAAAGTGCACCTCTGCTAAGAACTGCAAGCCTTTGACTGCACTTTCCCTCCCAACAGCACTGGCTAGCTTCAACCCTCTGTGGGTGATCAAGGTCAAGATTAAAACCCTTGCTCTGCTGCTCCCCTTGGGTCTCCCAAATGATTTTCAGCCTCATCTCCTACCCTTTCTGTTGAGCTTTCACTCCTACTCTGGCAGCCACAGATCCTAGAACTGCTTTCTTGTGCTATGAAGTTCTTTGCATTGTCAGGTTGGCCTTTAGGCCACCTCCTCCAGGAAGCCTGCCCCTCAAAGCTGGACAGTCACCAGCTGGCTTCTGGCTATGGCAGTCTCTGCCCTCTGCTCATCCTGGGCTCTGGAAATGGATTTTAAATGTGTCCCCTCTCTTCTATCCCTAATGAGAGATCAAGTACCCTCTGCAGATCAGTTTGTATCTTCAAGTGCCCAGGCCTTGCCCTTGGACTAAAGGGTACTCACCACCAGCCAACCAGTCTGTCTGTTCATCTTGCCCCTTTTTCTTACAGAGGAATGTAAACTAGGACCCTGGGGCAGCTGGGGTCCCTGCATACATGATGGGAAGACCTGTGGTGCCACCTGGGGCCTGGAGACCCGTGTGCGTGAGGCTGGGCTAGCTGGGCAAGAAGAAGAGGCCACCTGCCAGGTGCAGTCTGAGTCCAGGAAATGTCCCATCCAGAGGCCCTGCCCAGGAGGTGAGCAAGGGTGCCATGCGGGGCTGCAGCGGGTAGGCCCGCTGGGATTCTTAGTGTCCTAGCTGTGTGGTCCCCAGGAACAGTTCCCCCTCAAACCCACCTTCATGAGTGCAAGTGTGTCTTGCTCACAGGGTGAGCCCCAAGCACCTGAGGAAGACAGAGACTGTCCGGAGTCCTCAACTTTCCAGACTGGACCCCCTCCTCCCATCAGATGAGCAGTGTGGAACATGCTTCCTCTTAACCTGAAATGAAGTCCATGGGTAATATAACCCATGAGCACATCCTTTCAAACACCCAGCATAGGGCCCTATCGTAGGAGAGAGGAGAAGCAAGTTCACAACAGAAGCGTGGTGCTACCACACACTTCCGGGGCGGATCCCAGGGACAGCTGCTGCTGGGATCTGCACCTCAAGTACGTGTCTGGCCTTGCTGCGTGGTGTTGCTTCCCCAGTGGTGATGACTGTGAGCAAAGCCCATCTGTTCTCTCACCTGGCACCGCACTGCAGTCCTAAAGTGGTCAGTGAGTGGAAGTGTCCAAATGCTTGCCATCCCCTCTGGGCAGAGCTGGGCTTTGTGCTCATGAGGCTGGGCCAGGACCTGACAGAATGTGATGATCCAAGGACAATTGATCTTTGTGGGGGGCTGTCCCATGTAGGGCTTCCAGTACCTGTCCACTGAATGCCATGGGAACCCCTTCATATAACGACCGGGACCACTGCACAGATTTCCAAAAATACCCCTGGGGGTCCTCAAGAACCACTGATTCAAACCTGAATCAGCCTGTAGAGTGTAGTTGGTAAGTTGCAGCAGTGAATAGTAGTAATAAGAATTAGTAATGTGCCATGCTATGTGCCGGGCCACTAGCCAGTGTTCTGCACAATGCTGCCGTGAGGTGGGTGTTGTTACTATATTCTCTTAAAGGTGGCAAGATGGAGGCTCAGAGAGCTTGAGTCACTTTCCTGGAAAGGATGAACTTGTCAGAGTGAAAAGAGGAATCTAAAGTCATGGTTAGGGCTGAGAGACCTGGAGCCGGCTCATTTGGACACACAGCTAGGACACAGAGGAAGCAGGATTTGAGCCATGGACCCCCCCATTTCAGGAGATCCTGTAGTTTCTACTTTGGGGGCTCAGAGACAGGGATGGAGCCTCTGAGAATCATGTCTGGCAATTGTGAACAGAGAGGGAACTTGATTCTACTGTATTTTTTGTTGTTGTTGTTGAATTGTTTTTTTAGGAGAGGTTTATTTTTGTGTTTGTTTGTTTGGTGGTACCAGGGGTTGAACTAAGGACCTTGCACTTGCCAGGCAAGCACTTATTTTACTGAGCTATCTCCTTGACCCCTGTGTTTGTTTGTTTTTGGTGCCCAGGACTGAACCCAGCTTTTCCAGCTTGCTAGGCAAATCCCCAGCCCCAAGAGGGAGGCTGAGATTGGTGAGGAACCAAGAGATCCTGGACCCAGGAAGACAGGCAGGCAGGCAAGCAGGCAGGCAGGGTTTCTTATCTATGGGTCTGAGAGTTGATGGAGGTGGGGCTTGACCACTGGGGAACCACAGGGGAAGGCTCTCTCCTAGATAATGACAACACTGCTGATGCTAATGATGCTAACAGAGGTTGCAGCTGCAGTGCTCATAAAGTGCTGTCCTGGGGCCGGTGGGATGCCGAGCAGTTTGCACACATAGCTCCTTGGTTTGGCATAGCCCTGTGGCTCCTGGCATCACCTGGGCTCAGCTCAGACGCTTCCTCCACAGACTCAGAGCGATTGCACTGTGCATCGCGTCACATGGCAGCACCCACTGTTCTGAGCAATCCTGCTCATCCTGTGGTTGCTGTGCAGTGTCTGCTTTGCTTACAAGACAGTGTGTGGTCTTCGAGGAGGGCAGGGTCTTTGCTTGTCCCCAGCTATTGCTCTAGTGGTTCCAATAAGGGCTGGCATGTATGTAGTAGTGTCCTGATGCCTTTTCTTGGACAAGTGAGTGGGTGGTGGGTGGGTGCATGGGGGGTGGATAAGTGACTGAGTGGGTGAGTAGGTAGAATAGACAGGTAAATGGATGGGGCATGGTGGCTAGATGCATGGGCAGCTAGCAGCCTGGCTAGGGCAGGGATAAAGACACAAGGCCTCTCGCCACCCACGCCGCACACTCACAGCTGGTTCTGCAGGTTCAGGTAGCACCATACCTGTCCCCAGATGCTCTCCTCTTCTGAGGGCCATACAGTCAGCCCTGAAGCTGAGAGTGGAAGTCTGGCTTCAGTGTTTCTTCTGGGCTTGGAGTGTGTGTGGGAGCCCCAAAGGCTGGCAGCCTGGCCTGCGGGGGAACCCTGAGTCTACCCTGCTTGGAGAGAAGCTGGACTGGAGCATGGCCCTGATGCCTAAGGAATCAGGAATACAGCTGCCACTCAGGACATAAGCCATGGCTGCCAGCCTCTGAGATCCTTGAAGATGGCTCCATAAGCCACTTCCTGTGCTCAGTGGGCATACAGCTCCCTGCAGGCTGTCTCGGGCCAATCGTTGCGTGAAAATGGCCTCAGTGAAGAGATGCTGTACAGCCAGAAATGTCAGGCTCGTCTTGCTGCCAGCCACACTTAGGTCTTTTCACCTGTCACTAATAACAATGACAAACAACAGCTGGGAGAGCACATCTGGGACATGGTATGGAGGGGACTAGGACTTGCCCTGAGGAGGCCCAAAGGATCCAACAACAAGGCCAACAGAGGGCAGCAGGGCCAGCAGGAGATGGAGCAGATAGCACAGAGTCCTTTGCTCTTAAAGAGAGTCTCTGATGCTCCACCTACACCTCCCAGCCATCTGCTCCCTGGTCTTTGGTCCCTTTATTCAAAGTGTGCCCCTAGAGTGGAAGGCATGGGAACAGACCCAGAAACTCCAGCATAAATGTGTCAGTGAGCATGCTGATCCTCTTGCCAGGCTTTGGTCACCTGATCTGAGAAGAGGGACTGATGAAACACTCATGCTAGAAATTCACCCCCTCCAGAGTGGCTTTAGGTGCAGAGCTGGGTCATGCTGTTCGCAGGGAAGGGTGAGGCCCAAGCTCCCTCCATGCCTGCCACATAGAGGTGGGGGCTGCTGAGAGTATCACAGCCCTAAAGCCCTTTAGGTGTCTGGGCTGTATTGTTTCTGTCCTGTTTTTGAGGGGCAGAGCCTACCATGGTGGTGAGTGCCCACAGAAGGTCAGGAACCTTCAACACGACCACCCTGAGTGCTGACTGGGGGCCCTCCCTGTGAACCTCAGGCCTGGCAGGTACCATGCAGGGCACCAGAATGCTGTCTGTGCCCCTAAGGAACCACAGAGAAAGGCTCAGTGGGAGAACTGACTCCTGCGTCTCAGTCTAGAACAGGCTGATGGTGAGGCCAGAGCCTGTATTCTTCTGGGGCCCCTGTGTATGTGTGAGTGGACACCTTTGTCCTTTGGGGCTGAGGAGCCACTCAGGACTCCCGTGGCCCTGCAGCCCCAGAACCAAGGCCCTGTGCTCCCCTTGCAGAGAGAAATGCCCGCCAGAAGAAGGGTCGGAAGGACCGGCGACAGCGCAAGGACAGGAAGCTCGAGCCCAGGCCTGATGGGAGGCTGAGCCAGCCCAGCCAGCAGTGACCACACTCCATTCTGGTCCCTGCCCTTTGGTCGCTGCAGTCGCCCCCAACTCCTTCCCTCCTTTTCCTATCTGTGCTTCTCTGTTTCCCCCACTACCTTCTCTTCTGTGCAACTGACATTATATGTCTTCTTCCTGTGTTTTATTTCCTTCCTGTCTATTTTCCGCACCCTTCTCCCTCCTTCCCACTTTCACAGCTTCTTCCTTTTTCTCTTACCCTTTACCTGTCTGCCCTTTCTTTCCTCCCGTTCTTTCTGTTCTTCACCTTGTTGGTCTCTCTCAACTCTCTGTCCCTGACACACATGAAGAGAGAGACCTTGAGCCTCTGCCTCCACACTGTCTCTGTCTGCCCCCTAAAGAAAGCAGACATCTTTTCTTAATTGGTTCTGACCCCACCCTTGCAAAGGAGGCTTTACACAGGGTGGCCCAGGAATGACAGGGCAAGTCCCCAGATCCCTGAACTGGGCTCTGAGCCCTTTGTCCTGTGTCCAGGCCCCAGGGGCCATTTTTATCAGTCACCAGCAGCTCCCCAGGAGGAAAAGGTTTGGGGACCTCTTGAGGCCCAACCTGGACTTCTTGCCAGTGGGCAGTGGGGGAGCCATGCTAGGGCCCAGTTCTGCCAGGCCTCTTTCCTGCAGCCTCTCCTACCTGCCTCCCTCTCACAGTTCTGCATCCAATCTTCCAGAGCTGAACTTGGGAAACTCCCAAGCTTGGGGAACTGTTTTAGGTAGGACTGTCACCCTAAGGGAACAAATGGATCATCACAGAAGAATCCACTGAAGCTTTCAGGCCACTCTGTTCTCCACCATGATACCTCCTGCCCATTTTACCTGAGGTGAAACTGAGGCCTGGGGAGAGGGGACTCACCGAGGTCACACAGGTAGCCATACATTGACTGAGCTTTCACATGGTACCTGCTGTGCTCCGCATACTCCAGCTGAGAGCAAACAGGGAGGGCCTCTCAAGCAGGGGATGAAGGGCATGAAGTGAGGGGTGTCCACCCACCTGACCCAACCACAATGCCCCTTGAGAATTTGTGTTTTGCTGTAACCCCTTCTCCCTAGGCAGAAAGGACCTTGGGAGGGTTGCAGCTGAGACCAAACTAAGCCACAGGTTTGTCTCACCACCTGCTGGTCCACCTTCCAGGGGCCCTCCCTCTTCTGCCCAGGGACCTCAGGAAGGTGTCCTTTGGAATTTGCAGCAGGGCTCAGCAGCCAAAAGCAGGAATGGGCAGGAGAAAGCAGTCTGAGCCCTGAGGCCCTGCAGGCTGTGTGGGGACAGAGGTGGCTGAGACTAGATTGAAGCCCCAAGTGATGGAAAATCACCTGCCCTCCCCCAAGGCAGTGACCTTCACACTCAGCCTCCGCCTTTCAATGTGGGTCTCCCAATACTACTGCCTGGCTCAGCAAGGCCCACCCTCACCCTTTCCCACCAGCTCCCCAAGGACAGCTAGAGCTCTCTTTTGCTAGGTCAGGCCACCAGCTTTTCTTCAGCAGAAGTTTGTGCCTCAAATGCTCTATGGATTTTTCAAACCCCCAACTTTTTTTAAATAAAAGGAAAAGAAACAAGAAACTTGCAAATGTGTCTTGGGTGTCAGGAGAGTGTCATAAGCCATGATGCTGATGAGCTTGGAGTGGCTGAATCTAAACCATGTGGGATGGTGTCCGCTGCAGTGCTGTTGGAGAGGGCTTAGGGTGTGTGCTGACTGAGCTGGGTTTCAACTGGGGCCTGAAAAGAGATGGGCTTTGCTCCTCCAGGCTCATCAAGAAGGAGATGCAGAAGAGAGCAGTGCTGTGACCCTTCCACTTGTTGAAGCACACAAGGGGCCCCAGGGGTGCATTCGTGTGCACTGTGGCTTGTCTGAAGGACCACATCCCCTGGGAGGGGGACTGTCCTGTGGAGCCATGGGAACAACCCAGGGTGCTGGCAGAGGGGCTCAGCCTTGGAAGGCACCGGTGACTCCCACCTTCCCATCTGGCAGCAGAGGGATCCAGACCAGTGATTTCCCCTTTCTGGACCTTGGTTTCCCCATTGGATGGATGAGGAGGAGGCAAGTCTGGATTAAACACATTGCCCACATCTGGGAGGCCTAATAGCAAACTCTGGGGTAGTTTTAAAAATAATCTATATCCAGGGCTCCACCCAGATATGAGGAAAGTGAGAAATGTGGAAGCAGGCAGGGCAGAGAAAGCCAACTTGGTGATACCGGGGCAAGCTGGGCCAGGCCCAGGCATCTCTTGGATTACTTCAGCCTTGGAGTGCTAGGGTCTAGATTTGAGGGATGCAACAGAAATAGTTCTTTATTTTACAATGTATTTAGTCCAGGGTTTACAGGATTTCGCTACACAGATTGGACTTGGAGTGATCCTCCTGTTTTCAGCCTCCCAAGCACTGAGGTTACAGGCACATGCCACCATGCCCAGTCTCACTCACCATCTCAGGGTGCCCCTCGGGGTTGGGGGCAGTACAGAATGCCAGGATTGAACCCCAGTCCCTGCATCTGCCTAAGCAGGCACTTTAATCTGTTGAGCTATCAGTGAAATATTCTGTACAAATCAAGCTCATCTGTCTTACAAATTTGAAGACTAAAATTGGGAACAAAAGCAGGATTATCAGAGAGTACTGAAATAAGAAGGGAAATAGCTCTTGCCTACAGCAGGGAAATCTGAAAATGGAATTTCAGAGTGTCTTCTTTGTCCTGCTCGTATGTGAATGAGCAGAGTACAAGCAAAGGCAAGCAACTGTTCACTGAGTTTAGACAAAACCAGCCCTTTTGTACTCTCAGTGTTTCTGGAGGTCCAGTTTGGAGTCAGGGAGGCGCTGTCCACAGACTCAGTGCACTCCGAGAGGAAGGGCCTTCCCTGCCCGTTCATCCTGTGTTCTCCTTCCTGGGCTTGCCTTTGCATTTCTAAGGTGAACAGGACTTGAAATGGCGCTGCACTTGGTGTGTGCTATTTCCTGTTAGCCATCTGGCTCTACCTTGGGCTGCTCTGATTGCATACTTACAAGGCGAACTACCTAAACTGTTATACAACTCTGATTCTGATTCCAAGATTCAACACCCTGATCCCATATATGCATACACATATGTATGTACATGTATCACTTATCATTGAGTTTTCTGCCAAGATTCGAATTCTGGGGTCCCAGAGTCTCCAAATCCCAGAATTCTAAAAAACCCAAGGTAAGAGTGGAGGTTTGTAATCCTGCTACTTCCTAGCCAAGCTCTTTCCCATGGGCCAGTGATGGCGAACCTTTTAAAGCTTTCATGATACAGCTGCTGTGGTGTGTGTGCCATAGTTTTGCTACCTGTACCTTGGGCAGTGAGGTATCAGGGTGGCCTGGCCTTCTTTCCCCAGCTGAGGACAAAAACAGACTTTCTTCAAGGTCCAAGGGCTTCTGTAGCCCTTGGTGGCAGGAAACTCCTCTGTCAGCTCCCCCTTTCCCACCTGCCTCTCCTGCCTTCCTGGGAATGAGCCCTCCCTGGCAGTGGTCATTTTCTAATGGGCTTCTCTGGGTCAAGCTTGGAGAATCCCGAGCCTTCTGAATATCGGGGGTCACATAGCCAAAGAGGACAGCCAGGGAGAAGCCCAAGCCTGCATGGCTCACTCTGACTGCTCTGGACACTTAGAATGGGAGGGAACAGAGGCCCCTGGAGTGAGGTGTCTTGGTCAGCCCCCTCCTTCGCCTCCTCACTTCTTTCCAGCTGAGCTGTGCTTGGGACCTGGCAGATTCCCAAATTTGTGGCTGGATTACCCACAATCTGCCACCAGAGGGAGCTGCTCGACCAGGAATCCAGGAAGGTAACTTTCTGAAGTAGGGATCCTGTGGCTGTCCTCCTGCAGGGCCCTGAGAGGGTGCTTCCTGTCTGACTGCACAGCACTGTTGCCATGGTAACCGCAGCAGTGTCAGGTGCCCAGAGTCTTCCTGCACAGTGAGGAAATCTGACTTAGAGGACAGGAGCTCAGTGTTCCAGGAAAGTCACCACATGACCTCTTGCCAAGACGTCCAGATCCAGGCAATGAAGGTCACAATCACTTGTTTCCACTTACAGAAAGCATGATTGATGCTACATCACCCTTCTCACTCGGATGTATGCATTCCAGTTACGCTGTGTGGTAGGCGTTGCCGGGGGCCTTACCTACAGGGCTCATTCCCTTTGATTTGTCTTCTCAACCCAGATCATGGTAACCTGTGGAAACATTTTCTTGTGAGCATCCACTTTCACTTCTTTTATCTCCTGCCACCTAACAGCAACTCTGCAAGGTACCTCACAGAAGAGGAAACTGAGGCTGTTTCAATTTATTAAAATCTACTAGTCTTGTGTATTCATCTCTTCTGTAACTATGCATAAATATCCTATTGTGGGCTGGGACTGTGCAGGGTGACAGTGATAAAGACATCATCCTCATTCCCAGAGCACTCAGTGTAGACAGGTCACTTGTGATGGTGTGAGCCTTCCACAGGGGATGGGATCCAGGAAGACAGTAGCAAATCCACCCACAGCCCCCAGAGCAGAAAGAAGCCAGCTCAGAACTGCAGGACCCAGGCTTGTGAACAGGGAGGACGGGGAGGAGCACATAGAGCAACTGCCTATGCAAAGGCTTGGAGGGGAAGCTCCAGACCCAGGGTTTCCAAGTCTCCTAAGCTACCAGATCCTACCATAGACTCAGTCCTGAGGCCAGCTGGCTCCCCATGTGCCCCCCCCCAACCTCCATCTTCACCCATAGCCCTGTCTTTCCACCCAATCTGTCACCCACAAGGTGAGCAAACACCCCCAACTCTCCACAGAAGAAGCCACTTGGCAGGGGCCTCCTGTCCTGCTGCTTCTCAGCCCCAGCTGTGGGGGCTTCCCAGTGCTGGCCCCGCAGAGTCCAGCCTCCCCTCCTTGTCCTGGCAGGATCCTGCTCCTCAGAACCCAGGAGCATGATTAAGTAGGGTGGGGCCAGCTGGATCAGGTCAGTGCTGCCTGTCTGCTAGGGTGGAGCCTGAGAAATGAGAT